CAGGCGCCGGCAGCGTTGACCACGATGGCGCAGGAGACGGGCTGGTATTCCAGGCTGTCCGGCATGTGGATCTGGGGGGGGACACACACCCCCGTGGGGGGGTCACGGACACTCGTGGGGACCCCCCCCCGCCGCTGCGTGGGGTGCGGGGGGCCGGACGCACTCACGTGGACGTATCTGATGCGGGCGGTCACCGGTGTCGGTCCCTGCGGTGGCATCGTGTCCTTGGCCGAGGTGACAAAACCTGGAGGGGTTTTTTTTTGAGGGGGGTGTGTGTGAGATTGAGGGGTCCCGGGGGTGGTGGTGGGGGGTTCCCCGTTGTGTGTCCCCCCCTCTCCTCACCTCGCACCTCCCCGGCGCAGCTGTGGACCCCCAGGGACATGGCTTTGCGTCGGAAAGCACTGAGGAGGGTCCAGGGGTCGAACCAGCCTTCATCCTCCAGACCTGGGGGGGGGAAAACACGCGTGGGCTGGGGGCACCTAAAAAAATCCTAATTTGGGGGGGCTGGACCCCCCATTTCCCCAAATAAAGTGAGGATGAGGGATGCACTCAACAGGGATAGGGATGGAGATGAGGATGGGGAGGATGGGGATGAGGATGGGGAGGATGAGGATGGGGGGGGATGAGGATGGGGGGGTCCCCACGCCCCCTCCATGTACCGTAGGACGCCACGGCCACGTCCTCCGTGTCTATCCAGGGGAATTTCGCCTTCAGCTGGCTGGGGGACAGCAGGGCCACCTGCGCCCCTTCCTCCCTGAGGACGGCCAGCGTGCGGAGGTGGGGGTCAGGATGAGACCCTCACCCCAAAAAAACCCAACAACCCCCCCGGGGGGGGGTTTGTGCGTGTGGCCCCCACCTCTGGAGCCGGACGGTGGCCTCCAGCCTGGCAGCGCCCTGCGGGGAGGCGAGGAAGAGGTATCCCGAGGGCTGGAACTGGATGTCGATGGGGGGCTCGTTCGGCACCCCAAGGTGCTCCTGTAAGGGGAGGGGTACCCTGGTGAGCGGGGCTGGACCCCCCCCAAAATACCCC